ACTGCAGTAGTTGTATAGTTATATATTAGTTTTTATAGCTACTGCAGTAGTTGTATAGTTATATATTAGTTTTTATAGCTACTGCATTAGTTGTATAGTTATATATTAGTTTTTATAGCTACTGCAGTAGTTGTATAGTTATATATTAGTTTTTATAGCTACTGCAGTAGTTGTATAGTTATATATTAGTTTTTATAGCTACTGCAGTAGTTGTATAGTTATATATTAGTTTTTATAGCTACTGCAGTAGTTGTATAGTTATATATTAGTTTTTATAGCTACTGCAGTAGTTGTATAGTTATATATTAGTTTTTATAGCTACTGCAGTAGTTGTATAGTTATATATTAGTTTTTATAGCTACTGCAGTAGTTGTATAGTTATATATTAGTTTTTATAGCTACTGCAGTAGTTGTATAGTTATATATTAGTTTTTATAGCTACTGCAGTAGTTGTATAGTTATATATTAGTTTTTATAGCTACTGCAGTAGTTGTATAGTTATATATTAGTTTTTATAGCTACTGCAGTAGTTGTATAGTTATATATTAGTTTTTATAGCTACTGCAGTAGTTGTATAGTTATATATTAGTTTTTATAGCTACTGCATTAGTTGTATAGTTATATATTAGTTTTTATAGCTACTGCATAGCTGTTCGTTGTAAGCAGACTTCTCAAATTAATAATGGCGCAGTCGTCAGAGCAAGCGCCTTTCGCCTCTGAGATAGTGAGTTCGTTTCTCGCCACAGGCTCATGTGAGGAGAATTTAATTATAGGTTTTCTCCAGGCGCTCCGGTTTCATCCACAGTGCAAGTTCGCAGGGTGGGTTAGAAATACTTATCTTGTTAAGCTTATCTATAATTAAACAAGAATCATAATTATTCCTGCAATACGATACTGAAGATCTTATCGATAAATTAAATTCTGACTTAGTTAATATAATGGACTGGTTAACCGTAAATAAACTCCAGTCACATAGGAAAAAAAGAAAAAAGTTGATGCTAATAGTATCCGCACATAATTTAAGTGCTAAAGGCAATGAAATAACTAATAGTATTATTATGAATAATAGTATTATTGGATCGGTTCTTTCCCAAAAGTGTCGAGGGGTTGACCTTGACAATAGGTTGATATTTGATATTCACATTGAGAATTTGTGCAAAAAGATATGTTCGGGAATTGGTGCCTTAAGAAGAATTAAACCCTTTGTTCCTTTACGTTCCTTAAAGATGTTATACAAAGCACTGATTCAGCCATATTTTGATTATTGCTCCCCTTTGTGGGATACATGCGGAAAGGTCCATAAAGATAAATTACAGGTGCTCCAAGAGCGGCGCGAGTTATAACAGGAGCAAGATTTGATGTTAACTCGGCAAATGTACTGGAGGATCTGCAATGGTCCACGCTCGACCTAAGACGTCATAGGCTGAAGAGCGTTTTGATGTACAAAATTCTTAATGAGCAGTCCGCCTCAAGTCTTAGAGAAAAATTTATAAAAATTAAAGATCTTAATAGAGAATATAATCTTCGAAGTAACGATACTGATCTAGCACTTCCAAAACCTAAAACAATCTTAAATGAAGTGTTAAGTATAGTGGTGCAATGCTGTGGAATAGTTTTCCTTCTGAGGGGAAAAAGGCATGCTTCGCTTTACCAATTTAAACGCATGCAGTATGTCCACTATACCAGAGACCCAGAGACTAACATGTGAGTTAAGATAATTTGTAAGTAAAACACGCCCCATCTGAAAATCAATTCATTGAATTTTGCAAATATGTTGTGTATGGCCAGCGTGGCTAAATAATTTTTTTAAGTTAAGTTAAGTAATTTTGACACATCTACATGTCAAGTTTTACACATTAAATATACACAGTATGATTTGCATATACCGTCCCGGTTTATAGTGGTATATGGTCGTATTAATCCGTGAGCCAGCAGAGAAAATCAGTTTTGCAAATTTAAACGAGCATACACGTAATATCTAATAACCTTAATTTTTCATTGAAGAGTAGAACATATTAGCACTTTATTTTGTTTTAAATTAATTTCCGGGAAGAGACTTGCGAACTTCGAAAATAAATTCAAAAGGAATATTCTATTTGCATAAAACGACATAATAAACACACGAAATTGCTAATAATTAAACATACCAACAGAATGTACTAACAAAATTATAGTGAATATATCAATTAACGTAACTATATAGTTTGACAGTCACTTTTTATAAGCTCGTATCAGACGTTTTGCAACACGGTCAATGCACATATGTCGAATTCAATTGAAGAATAAGGTAAGAATTTGACAAAGCGTATTTCTGGCGAAATGGTATTAACCAAATATGTGACGGATGAATAAACTGCTCTAGTAACATCGTACCATGGTCGTCAGATTTATCATTAAGCAGCACAAGTAGTGATACCCCATCTGGAGTACAAAGGATGCCGCAGATGACGTCACTTTGCTCTGGAAGTAATTAGTATGCAAAATCTATGACGTCACTTTGCTGGGCAAGCCTGGGCCAAATGTGCCAGGTAACGCGACCAATTAACGCGGGCAAGCCTGGGCCAAATGTGACAGGTAACGCGACCAATTAGTATCCAAGGTTATCACTATAGCAATGGTGGTAATAGCCCGCGTGCAAGCCCAAGGGAAGAATAGTGGGCCTGCAAGCAAGACCAGGTATTTCATAACACGCCCCACTCGCGCGTCAATTGTCAAAAAAGAACCAATGACAGCAACCCAAATATTAACAACAAACTCGCATTAAAATGTTGCGGGGTTTTCTCTGCTTATTCAGAACAGAAACAATGTGTAAAAATGGCTGCGTTTTAACTCCAAAAAAGCAAGCAACGCGTCAGCAATTGCCAAATTTTCTTGAAAAGTGCTCATTTTCGACTAAAATCGGAACAGGCAAATTAGGACGAATTTCAACAGGAAACCAGTCTCAAACTTCAAATCGTTAGGGAAGTCGTGCGACCACATTAGCATTAATGTGTGCTTCGCTGTCGCCATTGTTATAAATAAATTGTCTCACTTATCAGATCGTGTGTGCAATTCTTGTTGGCGGCGGAAAGTATGAAATTTATTTCAGTTATTTCATGTGGTAAAGAACTCTACAAACGAAGAGAGCGTTCAGATCGTTTCGTTTCAAAAGGCAATTACCGTATTCTGTTTCGCTCTCTCAGCGACGCCTTGCAAATCGCAAAGTGTTTCGAATAGGCTTACATGCAACTGCCTCTAAATCTTCACCGCGAAAAGCGCTGCTTTCTTCAGTGCCAGAGCAGAGTCAACATCAACCTCGTCCCCAGGGCCTTTTAAGGAAGGAGGCGAAGGGCAGCAAAGGCCCTGGTAAAGGCTGGTGAAATAATCCACAAATTGTGGATTATTTTGTCACGTGATATATCGGAGCAAATAGTATACAGGGGGGTGCGATCGC